TTTATTTGACTTTTCTTATGGAGTTAAAGATTATTTAATTTATGCCATGTAAAACAAAAGCAACCTTTTGTTTATTTCTTTTGTTTTAGTCACAGTAGAAAACACCCATTTTAGTATCAGATCCTCTTTGGAGTTTGCCACATATGTAGTAGCAAACTAAAGTGCACAGCATGTAACCCATCATTTCCTAGGAACTGGCAGGTATGAGGAAATACTAGGATGAGGTTATTTAAATGATAACAACTTTATGGACAACACAAAGCTGGGAGCAGTGGTTGATATCCCAGAGTGCTGTGCAGACCTTCAGAAAGACCTAGATAGGCTGGACAGATGGACAAAGAAGAACCTTGTGAAATTCAAAAAGCAAATGCAGGGTCCTGCAACTGGGGAAGAATAATCCCAGGCACCAGCACAGGCTTGGGGCTGACCTGCTGGGAAGCAGCTCTGTGGAGAAGTTTCCTAAATTCCTGTCTGATTCTCTGACCTCCCCCAGAATTTATGAATTATAAATACCGTCAAACTTGTAATTATATTGTAATTAAATATTTATATTCTTGCCATTTGGTTTTTAGGAGTTTTGTAGAAAAATCATTAATTAAAAAGTGAGTGGTATCAACAGTGTACTTTCAAATGGAACCATACTTGGTGACAAGGTAGATGTCACTGTGTGGCTTGGACTATGTACTCATCTATGGCCTGGGTTCTGCAAAAGTGAAGCGACAGAAATTCAGGATATAAAATTACTGAAGTGTGAAGAGATGAAGAATGTTACACATTGGGGTTACAGATACGAGAGAAAGGACATGAAGGCATGAAAAGCAGTTTAAATGCTGAGCAGGGTAACAGGCCAGTGTTTCCTGGACCTGTGCAAGCCCCAGCTCACCAGGAAAGTGCCTTGCTGCCCCAACAGCAACTCAGAATAAATGAGACCGTGTGTCTACATTCCTGCTTGCTCCTGCCCCTCATCTAGATGTACATGCATGAGAACGGTGGTGCAAACAGAACACAGGGAGCAGAAATTTTTGATTCTCAGCTCATCAGACAGATCAATGCCGTGTCCAGGACAGTGGGGAACTGCAATATGCCCCAGTCATTTTTAGGTTGATTACAAGTCTGAGAAGCAAAAGAGAGAAAACCAGATGTGAAAAGAGAGGAGAGGATTGAGGCAGTGTTATTCACTACTGTATGTAGACTAAAAAGGAAGGAAGTGTCCTCTCAGAAACAGAACTACTTTTTGTTAAAGAGTCTGCTTGTAAAGCCCTGCATGTTAAAAAATTATTAGATCAGGCTCTTGCACCTCCTACCCCTTTGAAATTTCCCACAGGTGGGGATTATACTTAAAAAATTGCAGGACAAAGCCACTTCCCAAACAAAGAATTTAACTGTACAGGCTTTCCATTGTCTTTAGAAGACTTCTGTAGAGAACTGCCCATTTCACAGCGTCATGAAGGCAAACTGCAGTAATTTGGAGGACACTGTTGGTACGTTGCATGTTCATATTGGAGTACAGTATATGATATCAATACAATTTGTAGGGTCATGCAAGAAGCATCAAGTTATTCAAGCTATTGAATGGGAAAAAATTAAAAGCTTGAGGCAGGCAGCATGATTAAATTCAGACTAAATTTCCTCATGCATGCAATGAGGAAACAAGCAGAGAACAGAACAGTGAGCAGAAGTAATGAGGTGAAGAATAGCCATGCCTACTCTACACCACTTGGATTACAACATCACCCCTTAGGGCAGGATTCCAGTTCTACAGWGGGCTGAACAAAACTGGTTATTTTAGGCTGTGACTCCACAATTAATGCTGCTTGAATAAACCAGTATTGTTGTGCATTTTTACGGTAGTTGCTAAAAATGTGTCCTAACAACAGCATGAAAGTCTTTTCAGGAAGAAGAGTTGGAATTCTCCCTGAATGCTCACCAGCATTTCTACATTGTGTGGGGAAAAAAAAAAAAAAAAAAAAAAAAAAGCTGACATCTGAACATCCTTTCCTTGATCATCTATAAAGCATGACCTGCTCATTATTGCAGCAGTGTGAAAAGATGGGAAGATGTACACTCAAGGCTCAAGGAACAACTAGGATATATATTTGAGCAAAACCAGAGTAAGCAGGGAGCTAATAGAGTCCTATGAAGACAAAAGTATTTCTTGCGGTACGTGTAGTCAAGATGGATGCCTCTGGATGCCTCTTGTCTGCACAAGTTAATGTTTCTGGAAAGCATACTCCATATGAAAGATATTCCATAAATCCTCMAACGCAAGCCAACCAATTTAGATATGGTGTGAGCTTTTCACCAGGGAAAGAAAAACTTTATCTTTTGTGGAAATAAATTGATACCACTGAGGTAACAATTCTCTTCAGAACAGTCTGAGTCCAAATGAAAAAGTTGCCCATCTTGTTTAAGCACCTAAAAGAAAAAGTTTCAGCCAGTCAAAAAGTCTAACCTCAGGACAAGACTTTTTTTCCCTAAGCACAATCTAACCCAAGCAATTAATTTTGAAGCTCTGTAAATCAGGCAGAGCAGTTCTGGTACCTCCTTGTGGGCTGGGATTCATGAGCACAGCTCTTTCTTTGGGTGCCTGCCTAATACAGCTTCTGACGTGAGAGGTTTGCACRGATAACCAAAACCAACTGTGTGCCAAAATGAGACAGACCTCTCCCTTTATGTGCCATGACTACAAACACTTATATTCCTTAATAGTGCTTTTCTGATGAGCCATAAACACTTTGGATTGATCTTGAATAGAGTGGGAAAGAGTTCAGAAATCCTGTTACTTGCTGAGCAAAGGATGGCGTCCTTGGGAAAAATGCAGATACAAGCGGTACAATAAAACTGGAGGTAAATGGATTATTCAAAGTTTGTCAGACTAATAAAATAGTTCTCCTGTAATTACACCTAATAAAAAAACCTTAAGACAAGTTACACTTGTATTTTACAAGGCAGAGTAGCAAAAGCGACAAAGCCAGGTGCTGTGCAACAGGCTTTGCATAGCAACTCATGAAATCATCACTGCACAATTTTTAGGCAATTTTGCCACATAGCATGAGCTGTTCCAAACTGTTATATCCAGTATATGAAGCTCATGATTTGCTGGCTCTGGGAGCTGAACTATCCCCAAGTTGGATAAAAAGTAATGAGTAGGAAACAATTCAGTTGTTCTCTGGGGTGAAGAATGGAAAAGACAGCTGTTGATTAATACATTGCAGTGCTGATCCACCCTTTAATTCAAGGAGTGGAGTCAAACAATACCTTTGCCTCACTTCATATGGAAAATTGAATTTGTCTTTGGACTATTACTGTAAGTCAAGGGATACTCCCATCTGAAACAAAGGCTAATAATGTTGGAGGAAAGACATTCCCTGATTTCCACAGACATTGGGTGAGGCTCAAACTTTATACACTTTTGGAGGGAGCTAACTGAATAAATGTGGTAGGCTGTATTTACCATTATTAAGGATTAGTATTTGGAGGCAAAAAAGAGTCTCAGACAGAGTTAATGTCATTAGAATTATTAATAAATGCAGAAGTTCAGACCCAATATTGAGAAATCATCAAAATTATGTGTTTTTCAGTGAAAACATTCACAACCTTTTGAGTAATAACAAGCAGAAACCTTTTTATATGTTAAAATTTATATATACAGATTCACTTTCTACTTGCATGTTTAACTGACTTTTGCCTACATTCCTTATTTGTTAGATTTATTTTAACAAGCTAACTAGAAATAAAAGATTTTAGAATGTCTTGGCTACAGCAGCTGAAAACAGCCTCTGAACTGAAGTAGACCTGTGTCTCTTCAGTGAAATGAACAGACCCCTTCAGTCTGAACCAGCTGAGAAACAACCCCTTTTGGGCTGTTTTCTGGAAATAGTTTAATAGAATTCATTYCCACAGTAGATACAATGTCATTGTCCTGGGCTACTGGCATTAGAACAAGACTAACATACACTTTGAATTTAAAACTCTCTGTCCATTTTACAGTCTGCTTTTCTGGCAGACGCAGTAGGTCGTGGTGGTTTTTTTTTTTTTTTGTTTGTTTTTTTTTCTTTTTTTTTCTTTTTTCTTTTCCTCAGGAAAATTACTATCTTTCTTGGCTTTGCCAATTTTCCCCTTACATTTTATTTTGCTCTGTTGGTTTGTTTGTTTCAGGGGGAGGGTATGGTGTCACTGAGGGAGAATAGGTTTACATTAGATATTAGGAAAAATTCGGTGAGGGTGGTGAGGCATTGGAAGAGGTTGTCCAGAGAAGTTGTGGGTGCCTCATCCCTGGCTATGATTAAGGCCAGGTTGGATGGAGCTGTGAGCAACCTGGTCCGCTGGAAGGTGTCCCTGCCCATGGCATCAGTGCTGGAACGGAAGGCTCTTCAAGGTCCCTCCATCCCCAGCCGTTCTGTGATTCCCCTCCTCTTTAGCTCGGCTGCCAAGCTCAGGCCCTCCAGTCATGAGCACGGGGAGAAAAGGGATGCTGCGAGCACCGGGGCGTGCGGAGTCGATCGCACGTTTGCATTTTCCTACGGACCACGGCACCGGGGCACGGGTTGTGCCTCTGCTGGGAGATCACTGCGACACCAAAGGTCTCCAGCATCGCACTTACTGCAAAGTGCTGATTCTGCCCCCTCTCACGCGTTCCACTCCCGGCAGAGGGAAAGGAATAGGCAAAGTTTTCGGTGCTTCTCGCCCACTAAACCCTGCCGATGCTATGGAAGCAGGACCATCGGCACGGCGCTCCATGAGGCAGCCACACCTGGCGCACACCCGCCAGCACGGACAAAGACATCCCGTATCTTACAGGGAAAAAACAACCGTAGTTTGAGCCGAAGGAGGTGAGCGGCGGTGCGGGCTCCCTGCCTGCCAGCCCCTCCSGGCTCCGCCAGGTGCCCTCCCCGGCCCCAGCGGCGCTTGCCCAGGCTGCAGCGCCGCCGAGCCACAGCAGCTCCGGGGTAGAGCCCGCTGTCCCGGGGGAACCCTCCCCGCGCCAGCCTTCTACTCACCGATCTCCCCATCATCATTGTCATCATCTTCCTCCTCCTCCTCCTCCTCCCCCTCCAGATCCAGCAGCACATCTTGGTTCTCCACATTCATGTCGCCCGAGTTGCGGTGCCCCCTGCCCGCTCCCTGCCGCCGGGGAGCGAGCCCGTGCCGAGCCCCGCCAGCCCCGGGGCGGAGCAGAGGGGGCGGGCGGGGTTTGGGGGCGGCCGCCGGCACCTTCCCGGCAGGAGGGGCCGCCCCCTGCCCTGCCCTGCCCTGCCCTGCCCTGGGCCCGCCCCGACCCCGGCACCGCGGGCATTTTTAAAACGCTGCGTCTTCTAAAATTGAGTCAAAATAGGCATCCAAGCGCTGAAGGACTCACCATGGCTAAATACTGCTGAAAATGTGAAGCCCACATACTCACAAAGCTCCCAAGCAACAAATAATGGTAGAGTTATCTGGAAAAGGTAATGCAAATTGAAGGGGGACTGCTCAAGGATTGAATAAAAAGCCCATCTCCGGGACTCTACTAGTGCATTCAACTCGTTGTTGACTATTTCACAGGTAAGAATTAGCCTCATCTCCATCTTCGCCTTCCAGACACAACCGAGGGGAATTTCACAACACAGAGAATGCAGAATTGTCACTATACAGGAATGTTGTGGGGGCAGAAGTACTCATAAAAAGGGATTTGAGTGCTCAGCAATGTATTCATCCACTCACACATTTGGTTCCAGGGGCAAGAAAAGCTTTCCTAAAACTGCAAGCCATCTGGAGGAGTGCCCAGAGAGGAACTGGACTGAGGTTGTTTAGTGGGAAGAAATGGAAATAAGACTGGAAAATTGGATTGAAGAAATGGGGGAGCAACGTTTGGAAAAAGGAGAAGATAAGAAGAGCAAGATAACATTGGGGTTTTTTGTTTTGTTTGTTTTTTTTGTTTGGTTTTTTTTTCCTTCATAAAGCAGTAAAAACCCTATAAGCAATCTGTTTTCCCTCTCTAGTCTACTGTTGATACGAAAATAATTCTCAGGACCCAGGATGTTTAAAGTGTTCAAACAAGAAACTGGATGGAAAGTCAGATAACCATATTAGCAAGTGACAAGTGTATCTGTTGTCAGTCAGCTGTGGGTAGAGTCATAGCAAGGCCTGGCATTACAGCAAGTCTAAGTGCAAAAAAAATGAGTTGAGAAACTTAATTGTGGAGTTTTGAAACAGCTCTGCTTGGCAAAGACCTTCTCTCATATGTTGCTTAAGGACGGAAGTGGCCTGCAAAGGCATGAMTGAAACCATGAAGAAGCTACTGCTCTTGCCCTGTTGATAACTGGTGTTATCATTATCTGCACCATCTAACACTGTGCATTCTTCTCTCAGATTAATGAAGACTCACAGAGCTGAATCTGAGAAGGAGAGCAATAAGATGAGAGGATTCCCAGCACAGGGTAATGATGCACAGCATGATGTGTTCTCTTGTCCTGGTGTTCTGCCCTGTGACACGTCCAATCTGCCTCTGACCACCTAAGAATGTGCCTTACTCACTGCTGTGACCCCTTGTCAGGTTTCGCACTCAGCGAGGTTATGGGGACAGAGTGAGTTTCGCCGCTCCCAGCCGGGAGGGTTTACACCAAGATGAGTAATTTACAGACATATCATGTTAATGTCTTTATAAACCTGTATTGTGTARTATTCAGCTGCCCCTTTCCTTGCAGATCCTCCCTGAAATGTGGTCCTGCCTGGTGAGATCTTGTTTCATAAATGATGGGAAGAGGGCAGGGATTGCTACAGACAAGGTACAGCTTGGCTTAGGATGGTGACATGAGATTTGTGCACTCGGATACTCTCCAGGGACATAATTTTTACCTTGGTTACCGACTTCTCATTTTCACATTTAATGAATGAAAATGTAATCCAATAATGACAAAGTTAAAAATAAAAGAGCAGCTCAAACCCAGACTTTAACTTAATCCTACTAAAAATACAGGTAGAGGATCTACCTCCTGCTCCCACCATAAAGATGTCTCCCAGCATTTATGGAACATGAAGATTTTGTAGGCTTCATTCAGCCTTCAACACCTCAATGTTGAATTTCATAGACTACAGAGCTGAGTTTTGCAGACATCTTAAAAACCAGTGGGAGTATTATGTGTGAAATTCCCATTTAATGCATGTACATTGGAAAATGCATAGCTATTTATTTTTTAACTTTATACCAGATGCAAATATTTCCATGTGTACTTTTGGTAATGCACCCAAGATTCCGAAGCTCAGTTTGGTTGCTTCTGAGAAACAGATTAAGAAAAAAATAGCAAATGAAGACAAAAATGCAACAGCACCACCCTGCTGCCATCTCTTTGTCAGATGGATAATAGCAAAAGATCCGCTAAAAGAATTGCCGCTGGATAAACTCCACACAAGTTTTTCAAAAGTCATCTGAAATGAAAAGATCAGGCTGAATAATCCCCACCCCAGCTCAAGCATGACTGCATTCAATTTTATTGAAGAAATAAAACTGTTTTAACATTCTTGGTAGTGAGAAACAGAGACAGTCCATGGAGCCAATGGAAAAATTGCTTCCATGGGTAAGGGTTTCATAGCAACTCTAACAATATAGGTCAGGAARAGAGTAAAAGAGATTGTTTGGCCCACTTGTGACAAAATTCTGGTGCAGGCACCGAGTCTTTAGCTGATGTGGATCTGGGCTGGCACCAGGGRCTCTGAGTCACAGGGCCTTTGACAAAGAATCTGTGTGTCAGAAACATTCTGTCAGTCTCTGGTCTCATCCAGSCCCCAGAAGGAAGGCAGTTTCAAACATACCCAGACAGTGGTGACAAATATTTGCCACCACGTATTTCATGTTCTCTGACAGGCAGCCCATGAGGCCCCTGGTTTCACTCCTGTTGATACACAGCCAAAATAATTTTGCAGCATTTGAAGCTGTTGTCTTCTTGCCCTTCTCYCAGCATCTACGAGAACAGCTGGTTGTTGTTCTCTTGATAATGTCATACTACACATGGAGAACTATCACCCTAATGCCTCTGAAGTTTTTCTCATCCAGATGACACAAATCCAGGTCTTGCATTCTTCCAGCACATATCACTGTCTGTGCTTTTCTCTCTGTTACACGTTAGTGTAAAAAAATGCAGAGAGAGAATCTATGGTAGGAGAAGATGATATCATTTTCCAAAATGATACCAGGAGGACCAGGAGGCCACAGAGCTCCATCCTTGGAGATACTCAAAAGTCACCTGGACACAGTACTGGTGGTCCTCCTTTAGTGGGGGGCATGGACAAGATGACCTGTAGAGGTTCCTTCCAACCTCAACCATTCTGTAATTCTGTGATTCTGTGATTCTGTGAAGGGATGCCAGGTATCAGGTTCTCATCCTACCTGTTGAGCAATGACAAACTAATCTTTGGACAGATATTTTATACCCAAGAACCAAAAGTCACTATGACATGATTCTTCAGCATCAGACTTCTGCTTATTTCCACCTCCATAAACTTCAGGCAAGTCTGGTCTGAGTTCCTTAAGGCTGTGATCTGTGCTGTAGATTAACTAGAAAGAAATGGAATGGTGTGTGTGACGTGATGTTAGCTTCTTCTTTTGTTAGAGGCAGAGTCTTCTGCTGACGGGTGATCTGTGGTCTGGTTTGACTGGAATGCTGAATGCAGGAAGCAGCCACGGATGTTTCTGTTGAGGACTGTATCCTCTTTTATTAATAGTGTCCATTTTTCTACACCATTATCGTGCTTATGCAGTTATATTCACTTATCCTTCATTTCTGCCATCGTAATATTTCTACTGCAAGTCAATACCTGTGTACACTTTCTTTAATTACCCAACCCTTTATTTTAATGTACAGTGTGCAACAAAAAACATTGTATTCCAGGTAAGAACTCACTCACACTGAATACTATCGCTGTACCATTTTGGACGTGATTTTCCTTCCAATGCATCTACAGCAACAATTTTTATTTTTGTCTTTCCACACTTGTCAACTCATGTTTCTATTGCACTCTGCAATAAGTCTTAGATTAATTTCTGCAGCTGAGCTCTTTGTCAGGCAGTTTCCCATTTTGTATTTCTGTAGTTGATTGTTCATAAGTAGACATTTTTACCCTTGCTTTTATTATATTTCCTCATTTGATCAGCTCTTTGTCGTTTTTCAAGATAATTTTGAATACGAGTGTTTTTCTTGGTTCCTGCAAATTGCTGGGGAACAAAATTCACACAGCTTAAATCATAGGCCTAACWGAATAAAGTCCATGAGCATCTAGAAAGCAAACAGAAGTTTGGAGGACTGGTAAGTCAGAAAAAAAAAATTTGGAGGGAGTTTTGTGGGAAAGTTATCAGTTATTGAAAGATACTGTGTTAAGGCCACCACAGCAAATTATGTCAGCACACAGGAAATTTGGGAAAAACAACCAAAGACAAAAATCACTCTGTGAGGATTTCTTTAGGGATGCGGCAGTTGGAATAGTTCATCACTGTGGGATTCACTGTAGAGCAGAGGACACAGCTGTCTTTCTGTTCTGCATTCTCAGTTGAAATGAAAGAAGTAATTATCCCAGGGACCAAACAAAGTATTTTATTTCATATTTCATAAAAAATTAGACTTTTTAATAACTGCTGGGATATTGTGCCTTCATGTCTGAAAGCAGGTGACTTTTTACACCAGTACTGAAACTTTGAAACTCAGTAACAGGAAAGAGATAATTTGAAATGCAAATCCCCTGCTGTAATGGAAAAATAAAATCAGAGAGGAGATGAAAACTAACTAACTAAATAAATAAAAATTATGACATATACATACATATAATATATATTTAATAAAATGGTCATTCCCCTCAAGAAATTCCCTTAAGTGCACCAAGTTAATCAGCAAATTGATGCATTAAAACTCAGTAAGAGAAAATGTAGAAGAAACTACTTCCAGTTCATCACACCATATATTTTTCCTGGKACCATTAAGAAGTGCTTGCAATCTGTTCAAGTCTAGAGAAAAATTACTATGAAGAGTTTTGAGATCATTTTGTTCATCAAGTTCTTGTGTTTATTTCAGTATGATTCACAGATAGGGAGATCAATGAAGCATTAAGGAAAACTAAATTACCCAAATTCTTTACAGCTCTAATATTTTTCTTTTACCTTGGTTAGGTTTCCAATTGCATGTAATCTTCACAGATTTCTTAATTCTCACCCTTGCATGCAATCTCTA